GGTTGGAGAGGGGGATTTTTATAAATCTTATTTTATTATTAAAAACACAGTAGACTTTTTTCTTATTTTGCTTGGACATTTCTTGAGCTTCGATTTTTGAAAGAACTTTTTCAAAGAAAGGTAAATGTTAGGAAAAAGAAAATATGATTCTCTTTCTCTTTTTTCCTTTGGGTACAGAGCCCAGGCCGAAAACCACCACCCTGCACGACATTTTCTGGTTGGAAAATATGAGAGGTTGAGGTTGTAGGAGGGATATTATAAGAATGAGCGGTCTAGCGTGATCGAGGGTGCACGTGCGTAAAACCTTCTGGTTGGTGGGTTGCTGTGAAGGAGCTGCGAGAAGTTATGAAAAGGGAGAGTGGCACAACGAATGTTCGTCGTGATTCAAGGGTCATATCGTAAAACGGGCCATATTTTAAAGGTGCCGGAACATGAACGAAACCCTTATCCGATTTTTCCCTTTTGTTTTTTTTTCGAAAAGTATGATAGAACGAATGAAAATATTCTTCCAATTTATGGATTTTATTTTTTTAAATTATATAGTTCCTTATTAACAAATTTACTTGTTTCTTTGTTTGTTTGCTTGTTTTTTTTTTTAAATAATGCTATTATAAATGTTTTATTATTAATTTTATTTTGTTTTATTCTGTCGTATTTTTAGATATTTAATTTAACAAAAAAATATCCAACATCAATTTTGAATTACATTCGTTCCTTTTTGCAAATATTTTTCTCTACAATTTTTTTCTTTTTAAAACAATTTAATAACATTTTTTTCTATCTTTCCTTCTAATTCATTTTTGATTTTAATTTAAATGCAAAATTTGTATTAATCTTACAATACAATAATTAATTTACGTTTAAATACAATTCAAACTTTAATAGATGTTTCTTTTTACACATACATGCACGCACACACGTTAGGATTTAAAATTTAAATTTTGTGTTTAACAGACAAGTATAGTTGTTTGACAGGATATACTTGATGGCTGCCACTCCCCCTTTTTCGATATAAATCGAGGATGAGAATGGGGTAGACGTGATACTGGTAGTGCTGTCGACGATTAGTTTCCACCGAGCACCCGTTGTGTAGCGTAACGCAATATAAACACCTTATGATTGCCCTTTGGGGATACGATCCTCCAGCCTGTGTTACGATAAAGCCACTTATTTATAGGATCTGTGGTCAGAAGGGTGAAACGGTTCGAGGGTCATGCCCGTGATTCGCTTTTAAACGGCACTCTATAAGGGTGAAATAGATAGATAGATAGATACCTAGATAAATAGATAAAAGCAAATATATTGTTGGAGAGAAAGAACATTCAGATTAAATCAATTATTAATAATTGACATTAGGAACTTCCTTAAATAACCAAATCCCGCCAGTGTTTCCATCCCTGAGCTTGGACCCCGTCCATTCGCGGTCTTCGTAGCCCACTTTCTTGAAGTTCCCGAAATAATATTGTCCTCCCATCCACGTCTCGGTCAACCCAGTGGTCTTTTCCCGTTCGATATACCGATCAGTATTTTATGCAACCTTCGATCCACCCCCCATGCGCGCCACATCACCTGCCCATTTTAATCGGCGTGATTTTACGACGTTTATGGTGTCCGGTTTGTTGTACAGTCGGTGTACTTCCAGGTTATGGGGTTTTCCCATTCGGCCGTTTCCTCGATCGCGTTTTGCACCGAACATTTTACGAAATAACTTTATTTTCTAAACCCTCAATTTCTTTTCGTTCCCGTAACGTAAGTGGATCACGTTTGGCTACCATGAAGGACTACCGGTAGGATGATTGTCCTGTGTATTCTGATTTTAAAGAGCCCAGATAGTAATCGTGATCTAAGGAATTTATTGACAGTTGCCTAAATTGATTCTTTTCTTAGGTTCTTTGTTAATTTCGTTTCGTCTGATTTATGATTGATCCTAACTACTTAAAGTTGCTAACCTGTTCCAACATTTGATCCCCGGATGATCAAAGTTTCCAATGTTAGGCACATTCTTCAATCTATCTGAGTGTTTTATTTTATTTATTTATTTTTTATTAACTAAAGTATGTTTCTATCGATATATATATATAAATATTATAATCTACAATTTGATCATTATAATATAATTATTTCTTTTAATAATTA